GCAGGTCCACCACAGGCTGATAAATTATAATCATTGACTATCTCATTTAATGACAGAAAAAAATACTCCAAAAGTGGGCTTTGTGCCATTCTTTCATTCAATATGGCGTCTCCATTAAATCTAGTCAGGTGGGTGCAGGTGCTGTAAGGAAAAAAAAAAAAAAAAAAAAGGACAGTATGATTCAAAAGGCCTAAACTGTAACAGAGTTCAGTTCAGGTGAAGAATGCCATTATTTTTACATCTTTAAGGCCTTTACTGACTAGCCACACAGTGGAGTACTTCGATGCATGTGATGCAGTCACATGCATCAATTATGGTCCTCGTCAAAGATGCAGATGTTTTTCTGTAACACTGCTTGAAGAAAGTGTCTTCTAAACTAGTAGTAGGTTTTGGAGTTCATTTTGAGTCAATCTTCATCCCAAAAAGGTCCAACAAGCTCATCTTTAATAATACCAGCCCAAACTAGTACCCCGCCTCCATCTTGCTGGCGTCTGAGTCGAAGTGGAGCTCTGTGCGCATTAGCAAATCCAGCAACGGGCCCATCCATCTGCTCCGTCAAGAGTCACTCTCATCTCATCAGTCCATAAAACCTTTGAAAAATCTGTCTTCAGATATTTTTTGGCCCAGCCTTGACATTTCAGTTTATGTTTCTAGTTCAGAGATGATCGGGTTTCAGCCTTCCTCACCTTGGCCATTTAAGTACTGAACACCTTATACTTCTGGGCACTCCAGGTAGGTTGCAGTTTTCTTCTCAAATCTCTTGCAGTTAATTTCCATCTTTTTTTCTCAACACATTTCTTGCGACACTGTTGACTATTTGCAACTAAATGATTGATGGTTTTCTGATCACGCCCCAATATCTTTGGAATTTCAAGAGTGCCGCATCCCTCTGAAAGACTTTTTTACAATTTATGACTGTGAGTCAGTTAAAAACTCTTTTTTTGGCCCATTTTGCCTGAGGAAAAGAAGATGCCAAATAATTGTGCACACCTGATATAGGGTGTTGATCTCCTTATGCCACACCCTCCTTCTCTGGACAAATACACATCACCTGATATGGTTAAATCTAATAAGAATTCAAGTTTCTACAGCTTGGAGTTGGAGAATATGCATCAAAATCATGATATGGTCAAAATATCCATTTGCCTAATAATTGCACACACAGTGTTATTCCGGCTTTCATATATAAGTTAATATAGTAATTGCTGTGACAGACCTAGGAAAAGGTACACAACAAAACTCTTCATTTATTTAATGATAAGTTGATTATTTCTCATGACAAGCCTAATAGACTGTCATAGTAAAACATGTGCCCAAAGATTGATAACAGTGAGTGAATAAGCTCTTCCCGCAAGAGAAATAAAGGCTCCTTTGACATTGCAAATGAAAAGATAAAATTATATAGTGTTTTCTCTCTGACACTGAAACTGGCGCCACAAATAATCTGCATTTGGACTTTGTTTAGTCCCAAATCACCGATCAACAACTGGTCCAGCTGCTGTGTGGACATGCAGACTCCACACGGCCCCATAGAGCTTTGTGAAAACAACAGGCCATTCTTATCTCTGCACACAGCCTGCTCTCACTGGCACAAAAGACTTCTCCTTCATTCATACTACTCCAGATGCACTATTCCAGCACAAAATAATACATCGAAACAAATCATCGCTACCAACTAAACCTATTCTTTAAACTAAATCCTTAACCACACAGTCCCTTTATCTATGACACACACTGCTTCAAAACACCCACTTTTGTTAATTCATTTTTGAGGAATTTTTGGCTACGCAATAAAAATAGGTAGAAATGCACAATGATAAGTGAAGCAAAGACGAATCATTGTGGGTGTTCTCGGTTTTTCCACATCAAACAGGCATGAAGGTCAGACGATGGGTTATAGATCATAAGAACAATGCCCTTTATATCTAGGTCACGATTCTCACAGGGATAATATAGATTATAGGGGATTAGAGGCATCATGGGATACCACTGCAGTACAGCCTTTTATTATACACGATAAGGATCCAAACTTTAAAAGATTAATTTACAACAGAATATATATTATATATTTATATGTTTCATGACAACAATAAATTAAACTCGAATAGTGCATTTCCGCTGTTTTCAAATGAATGCCAAAGTAAGGCAATACTGACCTCTAGTGGGCGTGTTCAGAAAAACACAAAAGAATCATGGGCTGATTTGAACAAGTAATATTCTTTAACTTTGACTACACGTGACTTCACACTATTTTAACAAGACCCAGGAAATGAAACGTGATAAGGGTTAAAAAAAATTCTAATGTAGGCCTAATCATTTTGGGCCTTTTGATGGCAAAGCTAGGATTTACACCCACTTGATAAAAACGGAAGCCTGTGCATCAAAAATATTACTCACCCTGCAAAATGGAGGCCAATGACAAATGCAAAGTGCAAACTAAGTATGGATTATGACCCCATCCTTATATGACAAATGAACACATTCCCGCGTGGATTTTCCTTGGTGTGCAGACTTCTGGGATCACGTGTAGCTCAAAACGGTTGAGTTCAAGGACCTAAGGAAAAATGTTATTGCTGTAAACTTATAATGTTTAATTTTTTTTTTCTTTTGAAGCCTAGATAACTAATTTGGGCTTACTAATGATGTATAGGCACTCGTAGACCAGAAGATTCCTCTTCATTAATTGTTTTTGCATGTGACCCGTAGCCATATTAGTGCATGCGTGTGCTTCATTTATAGAACTATGGTCTATTTACACAAATGTAAACTCTAAAGTAGTACTACTCCGTCTGTTATGTAGCTATAAAGCCTAATCAAATTGGTAGACTGGCTATTTAAAGTAACTTTATATAAGATTCTAATAGTAAATTTCACAAACTTGACCTATCCATGTATTCATGTTATAATTTGGTGTTTTAGTTCCAAGATGATATCCAGTCAGAAAGGAATGGGCCTCACAAGTCTCATTTAGATTGCCAGTTTCACTGCTGAAATCCAGTTAGTTTAAACCTAAAAGGACTCTCTCTGATCCAAATTCTCACTATCCCAGTACTTGCAGCCAGTCAGGTGCTGAGTCTTTACAAGCGACTTGACTATATACTGAACAGACCAAAGAATGATTAAAAAAAAAAAAAGAGAGAGAGAGAGATTCCATTTAGGACTGGAGTGAAGGCTACATACAGTTCCTTTAAACTGAGGTCTTTAGATTTCAATATCATCTATGTGAATGTGACCAGAAATCACACGGACCATCACACAGACACTGCAGCACAGGGCTGCTGTTCAGGGACTAGCTTGGGGTCATCCAACCAGCAGGATTATAGGAAGACTTCTTGTGGATGAACAGTGGCTCTACTACTTGTATCGAGAAGCTAATACAGGCCACTGGGGCTTGGTGGTTGGTGGTTTGATCCCATCTCCAACCAGAACCTACTGTTGCAGTGTAGCCATCTTAGACATGAAGACATTTTAAAGGTCCTATATTACACAAAATGGATTCTTGTGACCTTTAAACCATGTTAGAGAGTTGTTACCTCCTCAAAAACATACTTGGAGTTATGTTTTGTAACATTCACACATATTTAAGTACCCCTTAATTTTTAGTCTATCTACATCTCCAAAGTTCAAAATGCTATGTTCCACCTTGTGATGTCATGTAGTGGTAGTTTTCCACTTATCGGCTACCTTTTACCATTGGTTGAGAAACTGGCAATTCTTGGGCTGGAAAAAAAGCAAATAAAATAATAATAATAAAAAATAAATAAATAAATAATAAAGTAAGATTTTTTAAAAAAAAAAAGTAGTAAGGGGACATTTTTAAAAACACAGTGGAGCACTTTCTGACTTACCACTTGACATCACAAGGTGTTTTCTGTCTGAGAGAAGAACTTAGCCTAAACATGCAGGGTTGTGAGTTAAACATGTGAGAATGAAACAGAACAAAACTCTCGTCATGTTTTGATGACGAAACAATTACACACGGTAGATCAGAAAATAGCGTAATATAGGCCCTTTAACCCAGATTGCATGTGCATGAATAGGCCTAATTGATGATGGTGGTCACTTGGGCCTGCAGCTGGCAATGTACCGGTGCACAGCTGTGGAATGTGAATGAATATCGCAGAAATGCATATTAAGCAATTGACAGGTGCTGTTTAAGCCATTGTGCACTCTCACTTGAAGTGTTACATAACCATCCACAGCAGAGTACACTCAGTGGTCTCACTGTTCTTGTCATGCAGTCGTCCGGGTCCTGTAATCTAATCGCGGTTTAAGCAATTTAATGGTTTTTACGTGGTTGTGCGTAAATTGGATGTTGACGCAGATTGCTTGAGCAGTTTGGAGGCTACATCTGGGCTTCCTCTGCGTCTTGTGTCTGCGCCCCTCCCTCCCTCTGCTCTCAGCATCCGTCTGACTGGGCAGAGCAGACCACGGTGCGTCTTAACCCGGACATTAACCTGCATTTAACCATAACGAGGAGACTGTAAGGTGAGCGTAATTGATCTGGGAACAGCCATCAGAGTGCTCATTTAGAATTTGGCTACATCCGGCTGTCCGTGACTGTATTTTTTCCATCATCTGTGCTGCATCTTACGTAGCTGATGCTAGAGTAAGCCAGTTTGTCGTGTCTTCTCCAAGGACACCGCTGAGTGGTGGTGCGGCAGAGATGAGCACGTCTGACGGCACTACGGAGACAGTGGGAGGACCCGGGCTTGTCGTGCTGCTGCTCAGAGTTTTGTGAGTTGCCTTCATCTCATCTGTAAGCGCCCTGGTTGAGCTGCTCGCTCGGCTCACTGCCTGAATGTGCGCTGCGACGTCATGAGGTGATCTGTCTCTACAGTCACACAGTTGTTGCTGTGTTGCAGTTCGTAGCGCACGCTCCCAGCTGATCTCTGAGAACTGTGACTCCGGCTTCTAAATGTCCGCTTCTTGAGGAGCCATTGGACGTACCCAGCGCTGGTTTGATTTCGGGATTTTTTATCGGCTCGTAGCTTGGTTCTGCCGCATCAATGTTACCATCTGCAGAAGCCGCGAAATTATATCAGACTAATTACGTCCGCAACTCTCGTGTCATCGGACTTTTGTGGGCCATCTTCACCATTTTGTTCGGTATTGTGAATGTGACAATTTTCTCTCAGCCATACTGGATTGGCGATGGCGTGGACACGCCACAGGCTGGCTACTTCGGCCTGTTTCACTACTGCGTCGGAGACGGACACTCCAGGGACCTGGTGTGTCAGGGGAGCTTCACTGAGTTCTCGGCGATTCCCTCTGGTGCGTTCAAGGCCGCCTCCTTCTTCATCGGCATGTCCATGATGTTGGTGGTCACCTGCATCGGCTGCTTCAGCCTCTTCTTCCTCCTCAGCACCTCCACCGTCTACAAGATCTGCGGCTGGATGCAGGCTGCCTCCGGTAAGCCACAGAGCCACTTTATATTAGACTCTTGTAGAAACTGTGCTGGAACATTGCAGGAGAAGCATGGGATATCGTTATCTTATGTGTATCCTGCCATGGTGCACTGTCCATGGTGCTGAAACTATCTCTGCATAACCACACTAATAGTCTGATGTAAGTGAATTAGGCAGCAGGCTTTTAATGTGCAGATCATTATTTCAAAATAAATGGGCATTAGGCACACAAGGTCTATGGGTGTCAAATAGTTAGGTTATATAAGCAGTAATGATGAAGATGAATACCATCAATTATAAATTACAACCACAGTTGTCAAGCTTCCTGTTTATAATCAGTATGATTTAGGATATAAATAATTACTTTTACAAATGCACAGCTAAAGCCTACCATAGTAATGTTGAATGTAAAAGAACATTGCCCAAATCTAAAAATTGTTGTTAATAATTTTATGGCCATTTCATTTTACGTCTCCATTTAAAAGGTATGAAGTTTGAGCACAGATAAAAATAAGTGCTATACTAACAAATCCTGGTTCATTTGCTATCAGTACATGTATAGGGGAAAAAAATAATAATAAAAAAAAAAAACCTGTGATAGTTTTGTCCATTCAAGTCAACCTGTGCTTCCTCATAGAGGTTCAAATAAACCTCGGTGTGACTCACAACTAAGAAGAGAATCAAGCAGGCCCATGTATACTGATAGTAGTATAAAGCATAAAACATCCATAAGTCAAGTTGACCAAGGAACTGATGAATTCAAGATAAACACCAAACTGATCACCTTTATCAATACAATATTTTGAACTAGTCCCCAATTTCAAATTTGTACATATTTCATACTAATTTTGCATAGTATTTTGGCTGACTTCTACATTAGCTCCAGATGTGTTCAAGATACAATCTGACATGAATACAGCTGTTAACACCAGTCACATTTCTCTTCCAGTCTGCAGTATGAGGCTACCTCTCTATCACTGAATCTTGCTGTTAAACATGGCTTCCCTCGACTCCACCGGTGTTCAGCAGGAATACTGTTTGCAACACAAATGAGGCAGATTCTTTGGCCCAGGCCCAGCTCCCGTTCTATGTGTTATGCTGGGGTTGAATTAATGCATTAAGTCAGTCTAATGAGAAGACTGCTGCTGAGATGAAAGGGAGAGGCAGCAGAAAGAGCCTGACCACGGCATACAGGCACTGGGACGCCTAATGAGAGCCTTCTTAACACTGTCTAACTCGTTCTCACTTAGCTCAAGGTTAAACTCACGTGCGGTTTTTCCACTGTCACCCACAGAGGACAGGTGGCGCCGTCTGCAGCAGCCCCATCACTGTCCGCACTGTTTTGTTTGGTGAAGATAAATGGTTATTACAGTAGTGACGTGCTGCGAGCAGGGGAGCACAGCGCAGAAATATGAATGATTGTTATAGTCACAGATGAGAAATAGAGCCTGAAATGGTCAGTGATTATTTCAATGGTCAATTAGTCACAATTTAAAGGTGCACTGTGTAACTTTTCTGGATTGGGGAATACATTACCTCCTTGTCTCCATGGATTGTTACTGATTTGTCTGGAATAGTCCACAGTATGGCATTAAACTTATCCATTTCAATGAAGACCAGTATATCTTTGAAGGCACTACCCACTTTCTGTAGCCCTAGACTTGAAAAAATTATTAGTCAGATGGCTGTTGTTAGTTTGTGATCACAATTATCCCAACACTGTATGTGTTGCTTCGTTCTTGAGCAAGACAGCATGCAGAGATTTGCCACATTTTAGTCACTACCAAGGCATCTACAGCAAGACCCCAGAAATAGCATATAACCACCAAGATACTGATTTTATAATATACAAGTTATCTGTATGTAATTTTTTGCTCTAATAATAATGCATGCATGTTCTTTTATAGACACTTCTTATGTCTTACTTTCAACTCTTCAACCACAGCTCTGGGGTCAAATGTCATGCCTTGGGACACATTGTTTATATTCAATACCAATAACAAGATCAAAACACTAATTCTGTAGTTTGTGAGCTACATTATATATAATACCAACAACTGTCAAATTAAGATACAAACACAAGTATAGTTTTTTAAAGATACAATAGATTTAATTGTCCCTTCTGTCATTCACTATTTTAAACAAGTCACAACCCATCAGATGACTGTGAGCAGGTCAGCTCTCTTGCTCCATCTCCCATGATGCTTCACTGGCCCAAGGGCAAGGGAGACACTTTCTGTATTCCAAGCAGCTTTCTCATCTCCTCCACACCAATCTATGCATTCGCTTCATCAATCACTATTTTTCTTTGTGTTTTCTCTGTCAGTTAACATCGCATGCCTTCTCTTATCACACAGTGTGCATGCATGACTTAAGGACGAAGATATGAGCGATGGTTCATTTAGTTTAAAGGCTATTCAGAGGACAAGGTCAGACAGTACGTGCCAGCCAAGTCTTCTGTGCATAAAACTCAGAGATGAAATCGTCTCGTACACTGGCTTTCACAAATCCCCTTGGGCTGGACAAAAGGTTATAGACTTTCACTTAGCAACATCACACATTCACAACACTGGCCATTCACAGTATTGTGTTGCCAAACCTGGAGTATGCAAGCTGTCTGTATTCAAGTAGTGATTTTGTACACAATGACCTATTAAAATATAAAAATGTGCACCCAGTGTAGTTTAATTATTGGGTATACTTTTTTTATGATTAACTGAATGGTATATTGTAAATAGTACTGTAATAAGCAAAAAAAACTTTTTCATAATCAAGTGAAGACTCATCAACAAATAATTGGTATGACTAAAATCTCTACACAGTACAAAAATGCAACAGTTTATTTACTTATTTATTTATTTATTTATTTTTTGCCTACATGAACGGATCCATTTCTGAGAGGCTTTGGTTAAAAGTTGAAAGTTTAATGCGAGCAGAGGGGCACTTTGAGCCTTAAGATGCTGAGTGCTCCTTACTCCCTGCTGCCCTAGATGGACTCTTATCCTTCTCTTACTTTCTTCACTAGAGCTATTTCTGTCCATGCATCTGCTCAAGTCCATACCATGCAGATGTAAGCATGAGATGCTCCTCCACTTCGCTGAGCACCACAGAATATGCAAAAGTCTATACATATCATTTTATCACTCCTCCATTTTTGTTCACTACAGAGTCTCCATGCTATCCACTTTGATTTAAGCTGCCCCAGTAGTCTTTGGTACTGGTATTGATTTGCATGCTCCATCGATATAGTTAGGTCTGCAGCATAGTACATGTCATAAATTATTTCACATTTTGTTCATTTTAACACACAATATTGAAAAACAACTTAACAAAAACAACTTAACAAAATAAACAAGTCTGCTTACTTCTGCCCCTTTTTGGTACGTGACTATGAATGTAATCACAAAGTGTCGCTCAACTCAACCATACAACTGTTACCTTACCTAGCATCTTTGTGACATGTCTGTGAAAAGCGCTATATAAATAAAACTTACTTGCTTACTTACAGTACATAACTAGCTATAAAGCTATAAAGGACAGTTATGTATTATGTCTCCTTTAACTGCAATTTCATACACATTGGTAATGAGTCATACAATGTGAGTATAGCCACAACATCAGACAAATTGCAGTCATACTGAGGATGACAATGGTGTGATAGACTCCTTCTTTGAAGGCTATATTAGATTTTTTATGTCCATTTTGTTAAATGGGGAATGAATGTTGAACTCACCGAAGAGCTGGACCACTGCTGTTAATATTCTATACACTTTACTTCTTTATGCTTAAGCAGCTTTTGATGCATTCATTAAAATATGGATGTACTTGGTTTGTACATGTGGCTCAGTGAACTTAAAGGAAAAAGCATTAAGCAATTTAATTTCCCCCAGGACATTAGCATTTAAATTTAAAATGTCCAAACTTGACTGAAAATTCCTTCATTCCCAAATGGAAAAAACAATATACTTATGTACATATGGATCTTAAAAGTGTAGGGTTCATGACCAAAATAATGAAAATTCCTGTCACATTTGGCTTTTTGTTGTGGATGTCCATCCCACTCTGATTCTCTATTACCTTTTGAAACATTCATCATGAATCATTCATTCATTCATTCATCATTCATCAGAACAATGAAAGATTATTTTTTTTTTTTTCAAAGTCTTGGTAAGTGCAGTAAATGTGCTGCACTAATTGCAGTTGAATCAGATTACAGTTCACAGATCTTTTTGCAACAACAATAGCTCCATAACTTTCCATAATAACTTTCCATAATAAGTCTCAAAGTAATCTCAAATGACAATAGTTATGCATTTGTTTTTGAATGCTGTCACCACTTTTTGAAGCTAATCTAAACAAAATAATTTCTTTTAACTTTATGCCAGTTTTTGTTGATGTGAATAGCCCTTAATTACAGATATATTAACCATAAACAATTTCAACAAATCTACATTTTAACAGTTAAACCACCGTAGCATTCTTACCATGCCCTCCAGCTCAGTATTACAATATGGACAGTTAGAATGTTACAATATGTGAACACAATATACCCGTGCTGTACATTGAGTCCCGCCTAAGCCTTCTCTCTGGTGACCCTGCCCATGTGTCGCTGCTCAAATTCAAATGACTCTTTAGATTCCCATTTGCCCTCGCCGCTCTTTATCCTCTGTGGACATAGGCCGCATCTGGACCTGTTACATAAGCCCCTCCCTCCAGCCCTCCAGAGCCCCTGCTGCTCTGCTGGCTGCATCGTACACACACCAGCCGCCTCCCTCTTGATCTCCCAGCATGCACCTCACCTCTTTCTGCTCACCTAATCGCCCAAAGTGTCAGTTCTATAATGGAGGAACAGGCTCATGCCAAATGCACTGTTAAGCTAGGGCTCTAGTTGTGCAATCTCTACTTTGTAAATTAAATGGGGTTTGTAGTTAAATTGAAAAAGTTACCTATGGTTTTCAGCATTGTGAGAGAGTTCCAGTGTCAGTGCAGACGTCTGTTCTCTCA